CCCCGTGGGCCTGAGGACTCACAGCTTGTTCTTAGCCTTCTGGGGGCGTCTCCCCGGAAGAATGGGGTCCCCACAGTGCCCTAGACTCTGCCTCCTTCCCCTCCCCCTCTGTCTTTTGTCCCTAGCTCTGAAGTCAGGTAGGAGGTAGCCCCACAGGCTGGTCATACCAAAAAAGCTGCCAGCCTTCATTTCCAGCTCACCCATACCATGCTCCCACAAGCAAGCCCTCAGTTCCTCTCCTCCCCGCTTCTAGGCTGACCGGGTCTGGTCCCGAGTCATGTGGCGATGGGAGGTGGGGGCGGGCCGCGCACAGCGCCTCCGTACTCCAGCACCCTCTCAACCCGGCTGTCACAGGGCTGTTACCTGGATGGAATTGTGCTCGGCTCCGGATTTATACCTCTCCATGTTTCACAGATTTGGGTTTCTGGAACTTGGTACACTTGGTGCAGTGGGGACACTGTCATAAGATGAGTGGGGGGGCAGGCGGGGGCAGCAAGACAGACACAAACTCACGAGTTCAAAGAGCTGGGGAGAAAACGGCAGCTGCACACTGGACTCACACCCGCCCTGGTCCTGCTTCAGCAACCAGGCCATTCGCAGCCCTCCACCGAGAGAGACCTAAACACTCCCGGCCTAGCTCTAAGCTGAGCTCAGGGCGGTGCCGAGCGGGGACAGGCCTATGTTCCCCATCCCAAAGCCGATGGAGCCTGGCACAGCCCACCTCCCAGAACTGGGTGGCCTCACGCCAGCCAGAACCCAAAACACAGGAGGAACTGCTGGTCATGTCTGTTCGCCGGTCATGACTGTCCATCGGTCCTGCTGGGCCTGCTCCACGGACAGGCGCATGTGGACGACCTCGGATCTTCCAGTGCTGATTCTCCGCTTGCTTTCCTGAGCCCCACGGGCCATGCACAAGGAGCCCTGGTGGTGCTGTGGGCTGAGCCTCGGGCTGGCCACCGCAAGATCGGCAGTTCAAACCCGCCAGCCGCTCCGTGGGAGAAAAATGAGGCCAGCTGAGTCCCAGAACTCTTAAGGAATCTGAGCAGGACAGAGTGACCCAGGGGGACCGAGCGGAACTGCTCTGGGTCTCCCAGGCTGCATCTTGAGGGCGCACACAGGCCCATCTCTCTCCCATGGAGCAGCGGCCAGGCTCAAACTACTGGCCCTTTGGTTACTGGCTGAGCGCTTAACTGACACGCCACCAGGCCTCCTCCTATCCGTAGACAAACGCATGTGTACGCACGTGTGCACACTCGCACTGGTGGGAGGAGGCGTCTGAGCCCGCGGCCCCTCGCCCTCAGGCTGTGCTGTGTCCCACCGGGGAGGCCAAGCCTGTTTCTCACCCTTGCAGAAAAGACTTCTATTTCTGTAAGTAGGGTAGCTAGGGAGGGGTGGGGGTGGGGGGAGGTGGCGTGGAAACTGTGTTAAGAGCTGCCTTTACTTATCCACTCTAACCAGGTCAGGTCCCCTCTAACCACAGTCAGGATACGCCAGGTCAGGACCACTCTAACCACAGTCAGGACCCGCCAGGTCAGGACCACTCGAACCA